GGCTGTGAGTGCGCCTGAGAAAGAGAGGGAAGATTTGAATGTGAATGAAACGCGTCGTTTCATTAAACCAGCCATCCTGGGCTCGGTTTCTCTTCGCACCCCCCCTTATTGTTGGGCCCAATTCCTTTAACTGATGTGTAGTGCTATTCTGACCCCCCATCCCTTATTTCATTTAATTCTTTTTAATTTTCTTCTTTTATTTTTCTGATTTGTAAAATGCATTAAAAATTGTTAAAAAATGATTTTTAATTTCTTCTTTTTTCTATGATTAGATGAAAATGAGTAGAAAATTATAAAAATAAAATTGAGATTTTATTTTTAGGTTTAATATTTTTAATAGATTTTCCAATTAAATAGCTTTTTAATTGTTTAATTTGGTATGTGATTTTGTAGGAATTGTTTTGGTACTTTCCTTTAATCTTTTTTATCCTTTCTTTTTGGTGCAATTAGATGATGAGTCATAGTTCCCTATAGGATTTTTTCTAGATTTTTAGAATTAAATCTTGATTAGTTTAATTAGGGTAGACTTAGGGTGTCCTGATTAGGGTTTAGATTGTGTTTAGGTGATGAATCCCTTTCTTTGATTGAGTTTTATCTTGATTTTTAGGTAGAAACCTTTGTAGATGTTATGAGTAGGTGTTGAGGACCCTTGTGAATATTTGTAGGATTTTTCCCCATTAGTTTAGTATTTTTAGGTATTTTCTGAGACTGCCTGATGATTTGGTCTGTTCAGTGGGTTATCTGGTCATCTGTGGGGTTCATTCTGAGGAATTTGCTGAAGGGCTTGTGTTGCCTTGAGGATATTGATGGAGAGCATCATGAGGAGAAGCTTGTAGATCAAGATTCAGAGGCCCAGAGCTTGTCTCATCTCCTGTCTGTGAGGTTTGAGAGCCTGAAGTTTGAAGGAAGTTCATGGTACTTTCCTGAGGAAGGCACTATGAATGACTTTCATCCTTCCTTCTCACCTCTTTCTTAAGTATCCAATGATGTTGGAGCCAACTTGTGAGTTTAATTTCTCCTGAGGAGGAATGTAAACTGATCACTTGTTGTTGAGCCACATGGGATACAACTCCTAAGTGGAAACCTCCTAGTACTTTCCTGAGGAAGGTCCTATGGGTCTATTCACTTAGTTCCACTAGTTTGTCTAGGATTTCTCAAGTATCCAATGATGTTGGAGCCAACTTGTGAGTTTAATTTCTCCTGAGGAGGAATGTAAACTGATCACTTGTTGTTGAGCCACATGGGATACAACTCCTAAGTGGAAGCCTCCTAGTACTTTCCTGAGGAAGGTCCTATGAGTCTATTCACTTAGTTCCACTAGTTCAGATAGGATTTCCTAAATATCCAGTGATGTTGGAGCCTGCTTGTGAGTTTAATCTCTCCTGAGGAGGGATGTAAACTGATCACAGTGGTTGAGCCACGTAGGATATGACTCCCGAGTATACACCTCCTGGTGCTTTCCTGAGGAAGACACTATGAGTCTGATTGCTTAGCTCCCTTTCTTTGGTAAGCTTATCATGAAGCTTGAAGACTGGGAATGATTTCTCCTGTTTAGGGTTTTTTGCTTGAGAGCTTTGCTTAGATTTGTTTAGACTCTGTGATTAGGGTTAGGATTAGAGAGTAGTTGATTCTTTCTCAAGTGTGTTTGTTTGCCTGATGGCACTTCATTTCCTTTACCTATTCATTGCTTGATAGCATGGTGATTATTTTCAAGATGATTACTGTTATTGCATGACTGGCTTGAGGTTGAGATGAGCTTGTGGAGGTTGAAGCCCCACACACATTTCCTCCCTCACTTGCATTGCATGCATTTCACTGTTAAAGCTGATGTTTTTGTCTGTTTCTGTGTATCATTGACATGATCCCTTAGGACTCTCACTTCCTCTGATGAGGATTTGATGATAGACTTTTAGGTTGAAACCTATGCATGACAACATCTAGGAGTTCCCTGTTCAAACCTCAACCATAGGATGAATCCATGGCATGATAACAGTAGGACTTGATAGTCTCCCTCCTAGTTGAGCTTTTTCCCGTAGTTTCCCGAACTACGTTTGCTCTGATCTTTCATACCGGATGAAAGTACGTAGGCATAGGATGCGATATCCTAGCGAGCAACCTTCCCCATCTTCCCCCGTGGTTAGCCGAACTACGTTGACTCTGATTTCTCATTCTCTGATGAGAATACGTAGGCATAAAGTGCGATGCTTTGCCGAGTCATTTTTCTTTTCTTTTTCAGCCAGCCTTGATAGGTAGATAGATTATAACCAACCCGTCCAAGTAAACAAACAAGCGAGGATCCCGTCGAGTACGACGGACGTGAGGGGTGCTAATACCTTCCCCTTGTGTAACCGACTCCCGAACCCAGACAATGGTTGCGATGACCTTGTCTTACCCTTATTCGTCAGGTTTCTCCGATCGTTTCCTTTCCCGTTCTGAGGGATAAATAACGAAAGGTGGCGACTCTTCTGTTTTGCCGGCACCTTATTTTCGCGCAAGCGACAAAGGTGACATCTTGCCTTGATGGAGAAAACTATCTCTTTTCAGAAAAGACATGTTACATCCGTTCTATCGCAAATAGGTAATGCCTAAGACTCCACAAGCGAGCTGCAATACACCTAACTGTAAGAATGCACACACTAACACCATCCACAAAAAGACCAGCAAATAGTAGGCCGAACTACAGCTGCTCTGATTCTTCACTTCTTTTAAGTGAAGATACGTAGGCACAAGGGCCTCAATCCTTGTCGAGCACTTTCATGTCTTTTATTCGTAGTTATCCGAACTACGTCAAATCTGACTTTCTCATATCTGTTGAGAATACATAGGCATAGTACCGCGAGGTCCTACCGAGTCTCTTTCCTCTTTCTCTTTTCTCTATTCTTTTTCATACCCTTTTACCTCCCCTTATAACACTCTTTATAGTAGTATCTTTTAGCAAATACCTACACGCATAGATAGGCAAATGGTTCCCATCGAGTACGATGGATGTGAGGGGTGCTAATACCTTCCCTTTATATAAATGGCTTCCAAACCCTTTCTCTTGGTTGCGAGACCATCTTATACATTTCTTTTTGGGGTTTTCTTGATGTTTTCCTTTCCCCTTTTAGGATAAATAAATTTCGATGACGAGTCTTCTGTTCTTCCATTTTCGCCTCTCCGTCGTTGCATTTTTTTGAGTAGCGACACCTGTGAAATGAATGACAATATAGATGTAGGGATGAATGTTAGGGGGGATGAAATCAATGAAGGACTGAATTGTAACCAAGAACAAGATGAGGTAGGTAACTGTAACCAAGAAGATGGAAGTGATGACAGTGCTTTGAATATTAATTTTGAAGACTCAGAGAATGACATAGGTATTGATGGAGAGATGGCAATTGATGAGGATGAAGTGAATATAACAAGTAAGTTGATGGGAAAAGGCAATGGCAAAAACCATTGGAAAGGTAAGGGGAAAGGTAAGGGGAAAGGGAAAGGGAAAGGTAAAGGGAAGGGGAAGGGGAAAAGGAAAGGAAAAGGTCATTGTTAGGGATGTAGGTGAAGATAATGACGGTGAGGTAAATCTGGACAAAATTTGAGAGGTTTAGGTGACATAGAGGTTGTGAAGGATGATTTTGTAACCTTTAAGCTTCCAAAAAGAATGGAAGACTACAAATGGGAACTTGGTACATTTTTTTCTACAAAGGGGGTGTTTCAAGAGGAAATAAAAACATATGCCATTCATTGAGGAAGGAACTTGAAATTTACAGAAAAATGATAAGGCAAGAATGAGAGTTAAATGTAAGGCAGGTTGCCCATGGGAGTCTTACTGTGCAAATATTAAAGGTCAGGAGACTTGGCAATTGAGGACAATTATGGACAAGCATACTTGTAGTAGGGATTATAAGATTAGGTTATACAATTCAAAATGGGTGGGCAAGAAGATTCAAATAAGTGTTAGAGAGAATCCAACTTTGAAGTTGACTGATATTATGGAGAAGACACATGAAAAGTGGAATGTTGGGATTAACAAGACATTGGCATATAGAGCTAAAACACTAGCTGTTGATAATTGTTTATGTTTCTTTTAGAGAGCAGTATAGAAGAATTCATGATTATGGCCATGAACTATTAAGGGAAAACCCAGGATTAACTATGAAGATTACAAGTCAGCCACCAGTTCAAGGGGAAAGCAGTGAAAACTCTAATCAATTGAATCCTCATTTTCAAAGGATGTATGTTTGTCTCAAAGCTTGCAAGGACAGTTTTTTCAAATTCATACCTATTATAGAATTAGATGCTTGTTTCTTAAAGGGATACCATGGAGGACAAATACTAGCTGTTATTGGTAGGGACCCAAATGACCAAATGCTTCCAATTGCATATGTTGTTGTTGGGGGTGAAACTAAAGACTCATGGATCTGGTTTCTAGAGTTATTGATACCTAATTTGCGAGGAGTCAGGTTGTGCAAAACATATACCTTCATTAGTGATCAACAAAAGGTTAGGTTTTAAACTCTCACCTTGAAATGTAACTGTTAGCCAATTGTTTTATTTTCACCATCATTCTTACTTATTTATGGATGCAGGGTTTGTTACCAACTCTTGATGAATTACTTGGCAATGTTGACCAGAGATTTTGTGTTAGGTAATGTTTACTCTCACCTTAGTAACTTACATATTGAATATGACATACTTGGTTTAGTAACTTACATATTGAATATGACATACTTGGTTTAGTAACTTACATATTGAACATGACATACTTGGTCATGTTTACACTTACTTTATATTGCAGACATTTGTATAGTAACTTTAGGAAAAAGTTCCCTAGCCTGAAATTAAAGGAGTTAATATGGAGGGCTGCATGTGCAAGTTATGTTAATGCTTGGGAGAAAATAATGCTTGAAATCAAAGGAGTTAATGAAGAGGCTTTCAAACACCTCATCAAAATTCCACCAAGATTCTAGAGCAAATCAAGGTTCCATCCAAGTTCATGTTGTGACACTTTGGTTAACAATATGTCAGAGGCCTTCAATTCTGTATTTGTGGCTGCTAGATCCAAGCCCATTGTGACAGTGATAGAAGAAATTAGAGTATACATAATGCATAGATGGGAATCCAATAGGAAAAATATCACCAAATACGATGGCATCATACTACCTAACATCAAGAAGATGACGGAAAGAAAGTCACAAAAAACCAATCATTGGATTGTGAGGTAACATTACTTTCAAATGGCTAACTGTTTACATTGACTATCATTGTTAATGGTTACTTGTTTACAGGTGTGCATGTGAATATGACTATGAGGTGAAGAATACTTCAGTCAATGGAGAAAAATATGTTGTCAACCTTTACAAGAAAGAATGCTCATGTATACTATGGATGTTGTCTGGACTTCCTTGTTGTCATGCAATGTCTTGCATGAAAGATCAACATTTGGAGATTGATGACTCTGTACATGAATGTTACAAGAAGGAATAATATGCTTCTTGCTATGCACATGTGATATATCCACTTAATGGGGAAGCCTTGTGGGAAAATACTAGTGTTGTTGATCTTCAGCCACCACCAATAAAGAGCAGCCTGGAAGGCAAAAGAAAAAAAGGAATAGGGAAGCGGGAGAGATGGTGAGGGATGAGACACACATGAAGAGGGAAAGACATGGTATAAAGTGTAGTCATTTCCACAAGGATGGTCACAAAAATGCCACTTGTAAACTACCACAACCACAAGCTAGTTCAAGTCAGGTACAAGATGCAACAAGTGAACAACTATCACAAGCTAATACAAGTCAATCACCACCTATTGCAACAAGTCAACCACGATCACAAGCTTTTACAAGTTAACCACCACCACCTGTTGCAACAAGTCAGCCACCACCACAATTTGTTACAAGCCAACCACCACCGTCTGTTGTTACAAGTTAGCCACCATCACAATCTGTTACTAGTTAACCACCACGATAACAATCTGTTACAAGTTAACCACCACCACTTGTTGTTACAAGTCAGCCACCATCCAAAACTAAGAAAAAACTTCATAAGGGTGGCAAGCCTATTTCAAATCAACCATGATCAACATTATTATGTTTACTAGGATTTTGTAATGCCAATTAATGACCTAACTCTTTTATTTTTGTTAATGACCTTATAATGCCTGTTATTTATTGCCTTATAATGGACTTTTGGTTTTGAATTTGTTATGTAATGCCTTAAAATGGCCTTTTGGCATTTGAACCTGTTATGTATTGCCTTATAATAGCCTTTTGGTTTTAAACCTATTACGTAATGCCTTACAATGGCTTTTTGGTATTTCAATGACCTTGTTTTATTAAACAATGTATTGCCTTATAATGACCTTATTTTATTGAGCCTGTTGTGTATCAAATATTGAATCTGTTAATGAATGTTGGAATGGTTATTGAACCTGTTATGTATCAAATTTTGAAACATGTTTTGAACCTGTTATGTATCAAACATGTTATTGAACCTGTTATGTAGCAAACATTTTATTGAACCTGTTATGAAACAAACATGTTACAGTTTATTTCCACAAATATTGGTCATTGGTTATGCATATGTTACAAGTTGGATATTGAGACATTATTCAATGAAAATGTGAAAACAGAACACAAACATTATTCATTGAAACAACATAACAGTATATTATTCATTAAACAAACTCATCAATTTGTTACAACATAACAGTATATTATTACAAACATAAAAGCATAACTTAAAACTATCCTAAAACTAATTGAGATACATTGTTACAAACATAAGGTTCAACCCTAAACTTACAATCCCAACAACAATGGACATTTTGAGCCATCCACGAGTGTACATAACTTCATTCTTTAATCTGTTAATTTTCTTCTTTTGTCTTTCAAGCTTCAAATCCCTTTCATCAAGAAACTCATCACCTAACCACTTGAATAAATTACAACCCTTTTCAATGTGGTTTCTGTAATTTCTACAACCCCAAAATTTTCTTCCCTTGTTGACACTGTTCACATCATTCACTGTTCTAAGAACACTTTCATCTTGGAAAAAGCACTTGATCCTCTTGTTTCTAAGAATTAAAGATCCAGATATGCCATAGGTATATTTATTTGAATTTGAGGAATTGGTTGCACTCTTTGACATTGCTTGAACCCTAATTCTCAAATTGCAAAAGAAAATGAAAGATAGTAGAAGGAAATTGGAAGAAAGCGATTTAACCCTGAATTAAAGATGAAGATGGAATTGGTTGAAATATGGAAAATGGATGAAGAATAATGGTGGAAAAAGAATGAAGCAGCAAGAGTGAAATATGGAACCCTATGTAAGGCAACATATACATATGCTGATGTGGAATTCTAAATTGGCTTACTTGACATGCCACCTCATATAAACTAACATTTTTTTGACACAAACTAACAGAAGGGACCAAAGTGTTTAACAGAACTTAAGTTAAAGGATCATTGTCGCAACTGTAAAAAGGGTCGGCCGAAAAAAACAGAAGAATCGCCATCAAAATTTATTTATCCCAAAGAGGGGGAAATGAAACGATCGAAGAAAACCTAAAAGAATGGGAAAAGACAAGGTCATCGCAACCAAATCTTGGGTTCGGGAGTCGGTTACACAAGGGCAAGGTATGAGCACCCCTCACGTCCGTTGTACTCAACGGGATCCACGCTTGTTGTCTAACCAAAGGGGTGAGTTATCTAAAAGCTATTGCTAAACGGGGGATGGAAAAGAAAAAGGAGACTCGATAGAACATCGCCGCCCTAAGCCTACGTATACCCTCGTGCAATGGGAAAGTTAAAGTCAACGTAGTTTGGAAAAATACGGGTGACGGGGGGAAGGTTGCTCGCCAAGACATCACCGTCTTGTGCCTACGTATCCTCATCTGGTATGAGAAATTAGAGCAAATGTAGTTCGGGTTAAACTAGACCACAGGTTCGTTAATTTTTTTTTTATGAGTGACATTAAACTCCCATTCTAGTAGTTAGGGTCGATGCTTGTTTGTGGTAGAATAGAAAGTAACGTACTCTTTTCTGAAAATGATTTGAGAACAATCCCGAAGGATAAAAATGTTTGAATTTGGTTTGTGTGTTTTAGTGAAGTGAATTGAATTCGTTTGAGATTCACGTTGCACTAAAGACTATGACATAGGAGCGAATGTGTCGCATATCGCCCAAAGGGAATACACTGAACACTCTAGACAAGTGAGGAGAAATCCCCCCACTCATCATTTCCCACATACATAAGACTCATGGCGCACAACATTCATCATTCTTTATTAAGTGTCTTAATATTTTTTGAGATGAGAAGAGAAGACACAAGAGAACACTAAAGGAAAACTGAAAAACCCTAATGTTGTCATACAAAATGGTCCTAAGTTTAAGATGAAAAGGAAATCTACTTAATGTTATCATACAAATGATGGATCTATAATTGAGGTAAAGAAGGGACTATCCTAAATGTTATCATGCAAAGCATTGAAAGCCTAATGTCTCTCCTACTCCCATCTTAAATAGAGGGACTAGGAATCCTAAGGGATCATGTGAGCAAACACAAGTAAACACCAACCAATTCAATCACGAATGGAACTTAAACAAGTTCCAAAAAGAAAAGAGAGATGAAGAAAGAAGAAGAATGAAGAATGGACAAACAAGAAGTCATTAACAAACAACAAGCACATTCATTTCAATCTTAAGCAAAGCAAGCATCATCACCAAGTCAATCATCAAACAAACATTCACCAACACAAAGCAAGATGAGATGAAGTCACATGGCATAAGAAACAAGGTAGGGCAGCAAGCACACCATATCATACTCAATTCATGTCAATGATCAAAGAGAGGACACAAAGCAACAAATCATACATACCACTCATACACAAACCATACCAAACAAGCATGCATACAAACAAATGCAAAGCAAACATCCCAAGGGAAAAACATATGAACATGATATGAGAACAAAAATGAAAACACAACATCTAAAATGATCAATAAGTTCAACATTCAATCATGAACACACAAGAGATCACACAAGTGGAAATCAAACATGCCTCAAGAAGAATCAAACATCAAAAACATCCACAAAAAGCAAACCACAATCAAGCAAGCCTCAAGACCCTAAGTGACTTGAAGAAGAACAGAAAATCAACCAAAAATGGATTAAAAACAATATCACAACATTTTGCAATTTAAAGTCAAATAAAAAACAAAATAAAAAGGAAAAAAGCCTAAAAAAGGAAGGAAAATAGTTAGACCACAAACAAAAGTCCAAGAACATCACCATAGGTTAGAAACTATCATAGGGTCATGTGTTAATTTCCTCATAATTTTAAATGGCTCAAAAATAATTTTAAACCAATTAAAATTAACCAAATAAATCAAAAATACATGGAAAATAGCAAAAACAGAAATAAAAATCCAAGAAAATCATCATAGGTTCAAAACTATCATAGGATCATATAATATTTTTATCATAACTTTAAAATGCTTAAAACAATTTTAAACTAATTAAAATTGGATCAAACAAATTAAAATTCAAGAAAAATAGCAAATGGAAAACTAAAAATGCACAAAAATAAAAATCAGAAAAAGAAAAAAAAGGAAATCTTAGAAAATATTTTGGTATGTTTCTGATTAAAAATGAATTTTCTACGAATTTATGAAAATAAAATGAATTTAAAAAAATTAGAAAAAGAAAATAAATCAGAAAAAATGAGATGCGTTGGATTCAGCCTCATTAAATGATGTGACTAATCCAAGGATCCAAAAGCGCGTATCCATTATAGACCCAAGTCAACTCAACCACACGGAGCCAACAAAAGTCAGAGTCACAAGATTATAACAACTGTCAGGCATGGACGGTCAGATCATGCCAGCTCATCATCTTCAACCTCTAGCCATTTCAAAACCAAAGGATATTGCAGAAAATCGTGGATCCATCAAACCATAACCATTGGAGCTCATAGTTGTTTCATTTGATGCGTCTTTTCAAGATGATCTCAACCATATCATCGCGCCATATTTCTTTAAAACACAGCTTACTCAATTTGAAAAATATCAGAAAGAAAAGCAAACACGGATTTGAAAATTGAACATCAAAACTCAACCAAAACCAAAATCTAACAATCCTAACAGCATCAACACATCAAGGACTACATCTTAGCAACACATTTGAGTTGAAATGGTTAAGAATTGTACTTGTTGAAGTTCAACTTCAGAGCTCTGAAAATGGAGTCCCCTAGCTTGATTCAGGCCATGATCCTTCAAGTTCTTGAGCTGGTTAGCTTCACTGAATGTTGGTGAAGCTAACTGAATGGAGAATTTGAGTGTTTAGGGTGTGGAAATGAAAATTCGAAGTTCAAGCTTAAGAGTTCAAATGGGATCTCAACAAGGTGATTCTGACTATCAAAGCTTATGAAAGTGAGTGGAATGAGTCCCTTACTTATAGGAGAAGCTTTTTGAATGTTGAGGGAGG